TTTTGGCCGAAAACTTTGGGCATTCCAACAGGAATCAGCACCATCGCACTTAGCACGCGCCTACCTAGAATGGTTACAAAATGAGGTCCCTCGGATCTCTGGATACCAATCCGTTGGATCCCCAAAATCTCCGGATACCAATCCGTTGGAGTTTTGTGTCTGGAGTATTTTGGAAAGCAAGGTTGGCACTAAAAAATACCAAAGTGTCGATCACCTCAAGCAAGCGCTTTGCCGGGAATGGGGCAAAATACTGCAGAGCAACATTCGGTCAACGTGTGACGGTTTCATTGGCCGTTTGAAAGCGTAATTCGTGCCAAAGATGACCAAATAAATTATGGCGTTTGACTTTGTTGCAGTTTTTTTATCTCACCCTGTATACCTTCTCTAGACATTTGGCTGAGGATCGAGTTGAGGCTACAAGTTTGTTGGAACACCGGCTGAAACTTTCAAAGTTGCATTTTGCCTTTATTTTGCCAAAATCCGGTCGGGCATTTGTAATGGGCATGGTGGATTCCAACAGCTCAGAAAGGATTTCACTCCTTCATTATTAGAGTATAAAATGTTTGAAATATATTGTACTCATTTTATGTAATTCAAACAAATGGACCAATTGATGTTACCCTCTGCCCAAGAGTAGTGTAGGTTACTCCACATAAAAACCTTTAAATTCATCGGAAGCCTATGATCGAAAATCCATTGTGACACAAGTTATGATATCACGGTTTATGGATCAATGCAATGGCAATCTCAGGCACAACAACAACGACAGAAAAAGTCATCAACAGTTTTATGCAACTGTTTGTATGTAATACTTATTTTATAACATTAACTGCAACAGCAACAACAGCAACAAAGTTTTCGTATAACACAAAAAAAAAAAAAAAAACTCAAAAATAATAGACAACCACACAAATAATGATAATGATCTCAAGAAAATGTTTTGAATGTTTAATGACAACGACGATTTTTTTTTGGTCTATCTAAAATTACGGACTGCTGATTTTTTTTTTGGCGGTGGATCAACGTCGATGACATCTCACCGAAGATCATTTCAAGTAAAAGTTAAAGATTCCCATTAAATTTGTGCAGTCTTTGACGTGTTAATTGCGATGATGATGAAGAAGACGATGATGTTGACGATTTTTGATTGGGTTCGCTAAGAGTTTAATGATTTTTTAGTAGCATGACTCTGCAAGTTCTCAGAAGTGGTGGCCAGACATTTTAATGGATAGCCGAGGCAGACAGAAGTGCATGGCACAAAAGGGGGGAGGGGGGTGTAATTTTCACAGGAAATGCCAATTAAGATTTTAGGTTTTTATGAATGAATTAATATATATGTGGATGTTGGCTTGTTGGTTTTAATGCATATTTGATATATCTGAAAGGAGTGGAAGTTATGACAATTTCGGGAAATATTCTATTAAATATTGTATGAGTCTTTGTAACCCAGGAACCCACTGTGCAACATAAAAACTAATTACGAAAATTCCAAAAGGTTATGAAAGTCGAATTAAAAATAAAAGAAATGTATCGGCACTTTGAACGATTGCATTTTACATCGCAAGGAGGGTAAGTTCCCCCCTCTCCAACTCTTTTGGATTTTTTCAGATTAATACTCCTTGGAATCCGTTTATTTTAGGTGGATTATTTTGGTCAGAAATTTTAACCCTCATCCGAGTCAACAAGGGGTATTTTGGTCTTTTTTCAAGATCATAAAATTGTACTATAGGTCCCACCTAATCGCCAGGAATTTATATTTATTAAAAAAAAATATTTTAGGGATAAAGCCGTACTTTATGTGAGTTTATGCAAAATAGTCCACAAATCTTAATTATACCCTACACCACAAGGTGGTCAGGGTATTATGTCTTTGTGCATTTGTTTGTAACAGGCAGAAGGAAACGAGATAGACCCATAGTTCCTTTTGATGATCTGCATAGAATCACATTCTGAGTCGATTTATGTATGTCCGTCCGTCCGTCCGTCCGTCTGTCCATGTATTTTTGTAAACAAAGTACAGGTCGCATTTATTGCCCGATCCAGATGAAATTTTGCAAAGATCTTTTGTTTGGCCCAAGGACGAAACCTATTGAAATTGGAGATAATCGGTCAAAATTTAGATGTAGCTCTCATATATATCTTCGTCCGATTTGCCTTTTATTGTGCACCAAACGTGTAATATCAGGCCGAATTGTATGAAATTTTGCATATACACCCAAATTAGGTCTGAAAATATGTATGCCAAATTTGATCGAAATCGGTTCAGATATAGCTATAGCTCCCATATATATTGTTCATCCGATTTGTTATTTTTGTCCACCGCCGCCGTAATATGCACAATGCAACAACAATATTTGGGGAAATATATCAGATACAGCTCAGAAATACATTTGCTAAATTTTATCGAGATCGGTTCAGATTTGGATATAGCTCCCATATATAACTTTGTCCGATTTACCTTTTATTGTGCACCAAACGTCTAATATTTGCCCAAATGGGATGGAATTTGGCACTTACGACCGAATTGAGTCTAGAAGCTAGTATGTCAAATTTGGTGAAGATCGGTTCAGATATAGATAGCTATAGCTTCCATATATATTATTCATCCGAATTGTTATATTTGTTACCCACAACCGTGATATGCACTCCGTAACAACGATATTCAGGGAAATATATCAAATACAGCTCAGAAATATCTTTGCCAAATTTTATCGAGATCGGTTCAGATTTGTATATAGCTCCCATATATATCTTTAACCGATTTCAAATTAATTGTGCACCAAATGGGCAATACAATTCCGAATTTAAAAGATACAAATGCTTCGGCATATTTAGTCCTTTGAACTTTAAATTATATTTATAATCATTGTTATGTGGGCTCTACTTAATTAGCAAAGTGGTGTAGGGTATCATAAAGTCGGACCCGCCCGACTTTAGGACTTTCTTTACTGGTTTTAAAAGAATAACGTCACACGCAGAATTACTCTACCTCAAATTTCACTATAAGTCTCCAATTATTTGCACAATAAATCTGAAATCTGATATTTCCGAGCTCTATACAATATATCGTACCAAGTATTATTGTTTTCGAATGCATATTACGAATGTGCGGGACTTAAACACCAAATCGTATGAAATATATATATATATATATATATGGGAGCCATAGCTATATCTGAACCAAATTTGATTTACTTACTTCTAGACTAAATTCGGTGGGATGTACCAAAATTCAGGACTTTTCGAAAGATTTTGGCCATTTGGTGCACAATTTACTCGAAATCGCTTGAAGATGTACAGGGTTGCTCATATTCGACGGACCCATCTGGCAACGCCATAACTTTTGACAGAAATGTCACATCGCTTAATGACATACCGCGTTTGAAGCGTCAGTCCAAGCCGATTTTTACCATGAACCAATACACGCCTCGCGAGCGCTCTGAAATTTACATTCAACAGAAGAAATCAATTGTGAAAACTCAACGTACTTTTAAAACATTAAAAAATGGGCGAAGTGCGCCTTCTAAGAACACCATTAAGCGTTTATACGAAAAATTTTCGACTGGTAAGCCTTTTTCTAATCCGAAGAGGCCATATAAAAGTCGACCAAGGCGATCGGCCGAGAATATCGCTGCCGTACGTGCCAGTGTTGAGAGGTCCCCAAGAACATCCCAAAAACGCCGTTCTCAGCAGTTGGGCATGACTCGGTCCACTTTACAACGGATTATTCGCATTGATTTGCATTTTTTCCCGTACAAAATTCAATTGACACAAAGAATGTTGCCTGCGGACAAGCCTCGTCGATTGGAATGGGCTCAAAGGGCCCAAAAGTCCGTCGAATATGGGCAACCCTGTATATGGGGCCTATATCCAAATTTGAACCGATTTTGAACTGATTTTGATAAAATATGGCTGATGTATTTCCGAGCTCTATAAGATATCATATTACTCTTCTGAGGGAATGAAACATATATATATAGGTGTTATAGCTATATCTGAGCCGATTTTCTCTGAATTTGATGTACTTGCATCTAGACCTAATTCGGTGGGATGTTCCACAATTTATGTTATCTGGACTGATATTAGCCATTTGGTACACAATTAACCCGAAATCGGTTGAAGGTAAATATGGGGCCTATATCCAAATTTAAACCGATTTTGATAAAATTTGGCAAAGGCATTTCTGGGATGTATCTAATATCTGGTACCAAAGAATGAGAATCCGATTCCTTTCAAACTGGGTACATCTTAATATTTCCTTCGGTCCACTTCTTCTGCTTCACCCCCCCCCCCCCCCAATGGTTCAAAATTTCGAATAATTACATCTGTCATAACATGCGAAATAACCATCAGAATTTAATACTTTCCAATATTTTCATTAACGCAAGATCTGGAGTGAAGATATAATATATCGAGCCACCCCTACTGGTACGTCCACCATAAAGGGGCCAAAATTTTGAATAACCAAGAAGCTCATAAAACGTGAAATTAGCATCCAATTACATATTTTTATTGATATCAGAAAGAATGGAGTGACCACTTTTAAACTAGAAATTTACAGGAGAGAGCTAATTTCGAACCATTTCGGATGCACAACTATCAACATTTAGCGCTACTTCCCGGATTTTAGTATTTTTTTAAGTTTAAGCCAGAATTTCAACGAAGAATTTTGGGTTTCCTTTGTGTAAAATTTATCCATACGAAAATTTTGGAATATTGAGGGAGACTTGATATCGTAGTTTAATTTTTCAGCCGAAGTTGATGTAATTTTATATTTTTTAAACCTTTTTTATAGTCGATCCATGTTCTGACATAGTCGAACATTTTCAACATGACTGAGCTAATTTTTCTGGAATTTTATAGCCCGTCCCATAATGGTGAAGGATTTTAGAGTTTTGCCCTCCCCCAATTAACGCCTTTTTTGTAGATTTTTAATTTAAATAATCGTTTGTATTTTATCATGAAGAAATGTTTTTTTAATAAAATTATATTTTTTGCAGGTCCTCCCTCCACCGAAACCGCCGATACATTGCCATCGTCAACGGTGCAACACACAATAAAATTCGAAACTACTTTAAAACCACGAGGCATTCGCATTACCGTTGAAGAGGAACACGAAGAACACCCGGCAACATCACAAGATGCCTTGACCACGGCAGAGCAAAACTATTTCTCAACCTACTATCATCATCCGAGCCTGCCACCATTGGGCCACTCCCGACCCTATTACCAAGCCACAGAAGAGCCATTCTTTCGCACATATCTCAATCAACAGCATCAGAAACATTTCCTCACAAAGGTGCGACCCCAAGCCTTTACACATTACGATTCCAGCATTTTGGGTTCGGGAGATTTTGGTATTTTACGTGGCGGTACCTTTTACTCGGACGAAGATCTGGGTTATCATCAAGAGAGTACTGGAGATTTTTATTACAGTGATGCCAGCAGTAATTCCCACAGTGGTCCCGCCACAGAGGGCTTCATACAAAAATACACCTACCCTGAGGAACAGTTTGCACAATTTCGTGATTTTGCCGATTTAAATGCACCCTCAGAGGCGGATTTTTCACAATATGTTGTTGTCTATGCGCCCAAGAATTCTTCGAGTCCAAAGACAGAGTCGAGACATGGGCCAAATAACATTTTCGAACAATTACAACAAATCGATGAAGAAAAGGCAGCCGAAGAGAGAAAACTGAAAAAGAATACTTCGTCGACGTTGAGTTCAAAGAAAATGAAATTGGTTAAAACAAAAATTGTCAAAAAGAAATGGTTACCGAAGGTGCCAAAAGTCATCAACGAAGAAGATCCTTTGTTGGCTCTAAGTTAATGAGATCAAAAAGCAGTAGAAGTAACCCAAGGTGTTCGGAAGAAATTAGTTAACGGTCAAATTTTTAAATTTAAAATTTGGACAAATCCTGACAATTATGTGTATATATTGTATAATTTGAAATAACTGCCTAAATTTCGTGTAGAAATTTGTACATTTAACCTGCAAGTAGTTAAAATTAGATTTAAACATTTACACCACTATTTTTTACGCAATAAATTTTTGTACGGTATTTTTCTTTTCTTCGGCACCATAATTTCATAACTTGCGAGTGTCGAAGGTAGGTTCATATATCAATATTTTTCTTGTCTTAATCGATTTTTATGTGGTATTATTTTTAAAAGTCTGCCTTGACTTTAGTCTTGTATTATATCCTATTAGAATGTCCAATATCGAATTAAAAGTCACTGCACTAGTATAATGACTTTTGAGTTTTAGTAGAGCTGATATTCGTTCTGATAAATTGGGAAATTTAAGAAAACCATTAAGACGTGTACCACCTGTCAACATTTGGCTTTAGAGCACTTATAGCTTGCTATAGTGTGCATGATATCACTTGGAGAAGGATTATAATAAAAACAAGTAAGGAAAGTCTTAAAGTCGTGCGGGGCCGACATTATGATACCCTACCCCACTTTGCTAATTTAGTAGAGCTGCGCATACCAATTAAAAGTTTTTATGGGAGAATTCAATCATACACGCTATGATTATAATTGTAATTTAAAGTTCAAAGGACTAAATATGCCGAAGCATTTGTATCATTTAAATTCTGACCTGTATTGCCCATTTGGAGCACAAATAATTTGAAATTGGATAAAAAATATATATGGGAGCTATATCCAAATCGGAACCGATCTTGATAAAATTTGGCAAAGATATTTCTGAGCTGTATTTGATATATTTCCCTGAATATCGTTGTTACGGAGTGCATATTACGGCTGCGGAGGACAAAAATAACAAATCGGATGAACAATATATATGGGAGCAATAGCTATATCTGAACCGATTTTTATGAAATTTGGCATACTTATTTTCAGGTCCAATCTGATCGTACGTGCAAAATTCCATACTATTAGGATATTACACTTTTGGTGCACAATAAAAGGCAAATCGGACGAAGATATATATGGATTCGTCCTTGGGCCAAACAAATGATTTGTGCAAAATTTCATCTGGATAGGGCAATAAATGCGAACTGTACTTTGTTTACAAAAATACATGGACAGACGGACGGGCGGACAGACAGACGGACGGACATGCATAAATCGACTCAGAATGTGATTCTATGCAGATCATCAAAAGGAACTATGGGTCTATCTCGTTCCCTTTTGCCTGTTACAAACAAATGCACAAAGACATAATACCCTGACCACCATGTGGTGTAGGGTATAAAAATATAAATATCGGAGCCGAGTTGCACAAAATTGAAACGTACGTCCCGAAATTCACTCCATTTGGGTTGATATTAGCCATTATTTGCACAATAAACATGAAATCGGATTAAGGATGTATATTGGAGCTGTACCCAAATCTTAGCCGTTCTCAATAAAATTTGGCAAAGGTATTTTCGAGCTTTATAAGATATCTGGTACCAAATATTATTTTTGTCGGATGTATATTATAATCTGATGAAACATATATATGGGAGCTATAGGTGTATCTGATCCGATTTTCACTAAATTTAATTTACTTGCTTCTAGACCGAATTCGGTCAGATGTACCAAAATTCAGGTCATTTGGATTGATATTGGCAATTTGATGCACAATTAACCCGAAATCGGTTGAGGATATATATGGGAGCTATATCCAAATCTGAACCGATCTCGATCTGAAATTTGACAAAGGTATTTTCTAGTAGTATGTGATGTCCGTTACCAAATATCTCTCTTCTGGAGTGTATATAACGTATGTGAGGGACTTAAAACCTCAAATCGGATGAAATATATATATGGGAGCTTTAGCTATATCTGAATCGATATTCTCAAATTTGATTTACTTACTTGTAGACTGTATTCGGTGGGGTGTACCAAAATACTGGTCGTTTGGATTTATATAAGTCACTTGGTGCACAATTAACCCGAAATGGGTTGAATATATATGGGAGCTATATCTAAATCTGAGCCGATTATCACCAATTTCATTAAGGTTCGTCCTAGGGAAAAACAATTATTGTTTGAAAAATTTCATCTCAATCGAATAATAAATGTGACCTGCATTTTGTTCACAAGAATACATGGACGGACGGACGGATGAACTGACATGCATAAATAGACTCAGAAAGTGATTCTATGAAGAACCTCAAAAGTAACTATGGGTCTATGGCTCTTCCTTCTCCATGTTAGAAACAAATGCACAAAGACATAATACTCTTACCACTATGTGGTGTAGGGTATAAAAAGCAACTAAGTTCGGCCTGGCCGAGCATTTAATGCCCTCCACCATTTTTAAGGAATTAGAAAAATTTCCAAAAAATTCCGTGGCAAAATACTGCTCAAAGAAAAGAAAAACCTTTATATGTGGGCTATACGAATACATGGTCCTGCATAAGTAATTTTTTTTGTGATATGCTGTAGTACCCATTTTGAATTTCAAAAACGAAATTTTAAATTAGTTCGGTAAAAAATGCCGCTAAAATAATCAAACTAGCGAATATTGTGGGTACCGGTGTATGGGGGCTATAAGATATCGTGGACCCATATAGACAATTCTCTTCCAGGGGGTAAAGTATTCAAAAGAAACTCCTATGTGGATTTTCAGTTAATTCCATTGATCGTTGATATATATACTTTGTTCGATCTATAATTATTATTTCGATAAATTACAAACGGAATGACCCTCCATACTATATGGTAAAAAGGAGATAAATACAGGGTGAGATGAAACCAGTAAGGAAAGCTCAAAAGTCGGGCGGGGCCGACTATATGATACCCTACACCACTATGCATATTTAGTAGATCTCTCGTAAAAAGGTTTATACATGGCATTTCAGAGCTCTATGAGATATTTGGTACAAAATCAAAATATTTCTAATTCTATCGTGCATTTTACGAACTATAGCTATCTCTGAACCGGGTTTCTCCAAATTTTACGTATTAGCTTCTAGACTGAATTCGGTCTTATGTACGAAAATTCAGGTGATTTGGGCTGATATTGACCATTTAGTGCACATTTAACCCGAAATCGGATGAAGATATATATGGGAGCTATATCCAAATCTGAACCGATTTCGATAAAATTACAAACAGCTATTTCTGGGCTGTATCTTATATCTGGTACCAAATATCATTCTTGTGGAGTGCATATTACGAATGTGAGAGGCTTAAACACCAAATCGGATAAAACATATATATGGGAGCTATAGCTGTTTCTGAACCGATTTTCTCCAAATTTGTTGTATTTGCTTTAAGGCTAATCTCGGCCACATGTGCCAAAATTCAGGCCATTTGGGCTGATATTGGCCATTTGGTGGTCAATTAACCCGAAATTGGATGAAGATATATATGGGAGCTATATCCAAATATGAACCGATTTCGATAAAATTTAAAACAGATATTTCTGTGCTCCATTTAATACCTGGTACCAAATATCACGGTTGTGGAGTGCATAGTAGGAATGTGAGGGACTTAAAGATCAAATCGGATGAAAGATATATGGGAGATATGGGAGCTATAGCTATATCTGAACCGATTTTCTCCAAATTTGATATACTTGCTTCTAGGCCGAACTCGGTTGGGTGTGCCAAAATTCAGGTAATTTGGACTGATAGTGGACATTTGGTGCACATTTAACCCGAAATCGGATGAAGATATATATGGGAGCTATATCTAAATTTGATCCGATTCTCACCAATTTCAATAGGATTCGTCCTTGAGCCAAAAAATTATTGTTTGTAAAATTTCATCTCAATCGGATAATAAATGCGACCTGCATTTTGTTCACAAGAATACATGGACAGACGGACGGACGGACAGACGGACTGACATGCATAAATCGACTCAGAAAGTGATTCTATGAAGGTTCCCAAAAGTAACTATGGGTCTATCTCGTTTCCTTCTCCATGTTACAAACAAATGCACAAAGACATAATACCCTTACCACTATGTGGTGTAGGGTATAAAAACTGCAACCACCTTCAGACTGCTGTCATTACTAAGCCACTCGTCCGATAGGTAGTAAAATTATTCCAGTGACAGTGTGATCTTTTTATATTTGGCTGGAAAACCACAAGTGGCTATCGTTAGAGCATTTCAGCATTTAAATGTAAATAAATCTTTTGCGTCTCGTACCATCGCTCGTTACCATGATACTGGTAGCGTAGGCCGACGCCAAGGAAGTGGACGGAAGAAAACAGCAGCATCAGCAGAGATGGTTCGAAAAATAAAGAAGCGACTTGATCGAAACCCGCTTCGCATTGGCCAAAAATGACTCGTGAGGTGAACATATCGCAATATTCCATTCGGCAAATATTAACGAAACGAGCTCGGGGTAAAGCCATTGAAATTCCAAAAAGTGCATGAACTTACACCGCAACAGAAAGAAAATAGACTCAAATGTGCTAAGGAGTTGCTTCGCTTGGCCAAAAGTGGTGAACTACCGAATTTGGTTTTTTCCGATGAGAAAACATTCGTTGTGCAGCAGTTTGTAAACAAAACAAGTAAAAAAGATATAAGTTCGGCCGGGCCTCCACAGTTTGGTACAAATTTGGCAATTTTCACAAAAATAAAATCCATTAAAAATTCTGTTAAAATCTTAAAAATACCGAATGTAGCCGTATATTAGGATCTGTACGACGACGTGGACCTGCATAGGCAACTTTTGTCACTAGCTATTACAATATTTAAATGCAAAACTTGAAAAAAAATATGTTGATAATGTAGCTAAAATCATCAAAATTCCGAATGTATGGAGGAACCATGGGCGTTATAAAACGTGGACTTGCCCAGACAATTTTTTGTCATAGGTTGTAGTATCCATTACGAACTTCAAATGCGAAATTTTAAACAATTCCGGTAAATAATGTCGCTAAAATCATTAGAATACCGAATATCGGGATGTACCGTTATATGGGGGCTATACGAAGAAGTGGACCTACATGGTCCATTTTCTGTTTTATGCTGTAGTATCTATTACGAACTTCAAATACCATATTTGAAACAATTCCGGTAAATAATGTCGCTAAAATCATCAAAATACTGAATATCGGGGGTACCGTTATATGGGGGCTATACGTAG